AGATAAGCTAATTATTGAGTACATTTCTTTTTGAACAGTGTCATCTCATCCCTCATTTCCTGTTTTTTCCCTCTTGATGACCTTGCCCCCAAGTTGTATAGTTCATTTCCAAAATAGTGTCTAGTGAGTATCACTGCTGAATTAATTCACCCTTTGCCCCACTGTTTCTATGCTTCCCCTTCTGCTTCCCAATTAAACTTACATACAAGTCAGGGATGCAGAATTTTAAAAACAGTGCCAAAAAGGAAAAACAGAAAAAAAAGAACCACAAACAGTACAATATCCATTTTATTCTTAGTGATTTAATTATAGGTAAATTTTCTACTTGCTGTTTCTAAGGAGATTTTTATAGATAGATTTTTTTCAGGTTCTTTACATTTCTTATTGTCCCATTTCTTTATTTTTTTTTTATTTCAAAAATTAATTTTCCTGGTTTGGTTTTCTGGGCTTAAGATTTGTTCATGTTTTTTGGTTACCAGTGTGTGGACTTCAGAAACAAAACTTTTTTTTTTTTTTTAAGTACTAGAGATTTACCTTAGGGCCTCACATTTGCTAAAGTGGCACTGTACCACATAAACCACTCCTCAAACCTTTTTTCAAATAATATCTCAACACTTTTTCCCCAGGTTGGCCTCAGACTGTTATCCCCCCACTAGTGCCTCATCAGTACTGGAATTAAACATACCATCACACCAGACTGGTTTTGTTTTTTTTTTTTAATTGTAAAGATACTGTACAGAGGGCTTACAGTTACATGAGTAAGGCAATGAGTACCTTTCCTCTTGAGCATTGTTACCCGCTCCTTTGTTTTTCCCCTCTATCCCTTCCCACCCCACCTTCCTAAAACCTTCCTCCTCCCCCTGCCCAAGTTGTAAAGTTGGTTTTCAACATAGTGTCTTGTACATCTCATTGTTGCAGTGGGTCAACCTGTATCCTTGTTTCAGCATTTTATTTCCCTTCCCCTCCCCAAATTAGAAAAATGTATATATAAGATGCAAGGCACTGGAATGAAATATAGTGACTACAGGAGTTATACCATGGGGGAAGAACATACAAAAGAAACAAAGAAAATCATAAAGTACATTAAAAACAACAGTGACAAAGAAAAAACCTCTTGTGTCCCGATCTTGGGGTTCATCTCACTTAGCATCATCTTATATGGTCATATATACATAGCTTTTGATCTTTTCTGCTTGTCTGATAAGATTATCTTAGACATATGCTATTAATTGAAGATAAGGAAACCATGGGACCTGTGTTTCTTTGGGTCTGGCATACTTAATAGAATTTTTTCCAAGTCTTTCCATTTCCTAACAAATGGGGCAGTGCCATTCTTTCTGATGGAAGCATAGAATTCCATTACTTACTCTCTCTCCTCTCTCTCTCTCTCTCTCTCTCTCTCTCTCTCTCTCTCTCTCTCTCTCTTTCCTCTCCTCTCCTCTCCTCTCTCCCCTCTCTCTCCTCTCTCTCATCTCTCGATCCATTCATCTACTGAGGCATCTGGGTTGGTTCCATATCTTAACTATGGTGAATAATGATGTGATAAACATAGTTGTGCTGGTAGCTTTAGTATGGCCTTGTTTGTGATCATTTGAGTAAATGCCCAGAAGTGGGATTGCTGGGTCATAGAGGAGCTCTATGTGGAGTCTTTTGAGGAACTTCCATACAACCAACAGAGTGGTTGAACAAGTTTACTCCTACCAGCAATCCAGTAGGGTTCCCTTTTGGCCACATCCCCTCCAGCATCTGTGGTTAGGTTTCTTGATCATAGCCATTCTAACTGGGGTGAGGTGAAATCTCACTGTTGTTTTGGTTTGCATTTCTTTTATGTCTAGAGAGGTTGAGCATTTCTTCATGTGTCTATTGGCCATTCTTAATTCCTCTTCAGAGAAGTCTCTCTTTACCCCACTTATTAATGGGACAGTTGTTTCTTTGAGGACTTGTTTTTTGGGGATTTAATTTTTTGAGTTCTAGGTATGTTTTAGATATGAGGCCCTTGTCTGTTGTATGACCAGTGGAGATCTCCCAATTCGTGGGCTTTCTATTGATCTTGCTAGCCATGCAGAAGCCTACTTTCCCTAAAATCTCACATAGATTTAGATTGTTTTTTTGAGATAGGATCTTACCAACTTTTTCTTAGAGCTTGTTAATGCTGCTCTCCTCCCCATTTCTGCCTCCAGAGAAACTGGAGGGGAGAGCTACTACACATAGCTATGCTTTATAATGTTACCAATTAGAATATTATTTGAGGATATTTATGATATTACTGAAGTAACAGGAGCATTTTCATATTCTGGAATTGCTATTTATATTCCTCTTCCTGATCCTGTTTACATTTACTGAGAATTATATCTGCTGGACACTTAATTGATAATATTGTTTATATTGTTAGCAAACGAGATGTTTATTTTACTTTGGGTATGCTTTTGAAGACATGAGATTTGCTTAAGTTTCTAGAACAAAGACTGGATATTTATATTTAAGCAGAAATTAAGATGAACTCATGAAAGTAGTTGATAAGTGAGATCTTGTTTTCAAAAGATAAGTATTTGATTATAGACATTCCTGACTAAAGGTTCGTCAGAAATCATCTGTGTAAGCAATACATCGTACTACTCATTTTTCTTTTGTGTTTCAGAGAAACTTAGTAACCAACTAGTCTCAATTTATAAAAGAGGTTATAAATTACATCAATCATTTTGAGTTGCTATAAGTTTAAAACTTGTAGTAGTTGGCAACTGTTGGCTGAGGGATGGATCACAGAATAACTCATTCCTGACTCATAGTCCTATGTTTGAAAGAACCACCTGAAGTGAGTTGAGAACTATGGGTTACAGGGTTAGAGTCATGTCTCAAGTGGTAAGCCAGCTGGTAAGCAAGCACAGATAGCCAGTATTTGTGGTTTCCTAGGTAAGGTTTAGTTATCACTTTTTTTCTTCTTTATCCCAAAGGGTAATGATAGAATAGTGTCATTAATTCCAGAGTTTTGATTGATTCCCAGAAGCAGTACTGAAAAGACAGGTTTCTAAGATTTGGTTGACACAGTTACAACTAAGTAACTAGTTAGCTTTTCTTATAACTTTGGGTTGCTTGAGTCATTTTTGCCTTAGATTTCACTTTTCCAATAAAAAATGATGCAGCTTGTAGTTTGCAAATTGTGAAGCAGGCTTCCAAGGGAAAAGAAAAAGTGTCAGCCATTTTACCCTCTGCTTTGAAGTTATAGATGCTTCCTTTCTATTCTTACACATGGTTCTATTTTGGTGATGTGATGATCATTTATAAAGAATAAGGATCCAGAGCATTTGACTAGGTGGGTGAGATTTTGAGCCAACACTCCAGTATCCTGTTGATAATATTCAAAGCACCTACATATACTGTGTTTAGTCTGTGTATATAAGCTAAACCAGATAATGTTGTATATGAGGGTTTAGAAGTTAAGATTTCATGAGCTCTGTGCTGGGAGGAACAATCTGAAATGGAAAGGGCTTTGGTTCAAGGTAACTGCTCGTGAACATGAAAGCACTTAAGTATTGAAGATACCCTAAAAAAGAATATTAAATGAACTATCCAAAGGAAAAAAACTCCTAGAAAAAAATGGGAAACTTAAGATGAGAACTTTTTTAAACCTTGGATGGTGTGCTTGTTTGCCCTCTCTTCTTCTTTCCTCTCTACTTCTGTGACTAGAAATAGTGTTTTTTGTAAGTAATGATACTTAGGACCAGTATGAATAGATTTCTGCTTTATACCAGAGACAATAAAAGTTTCCAGAAAAACTAAACTGAAAAGGGAACCAGAGGTATCAATAAAAATGCTCTCACATCCTCCTAAACTTTCTGACAGCTGGACTGGGAATGTGGCTTTGCGGTAGAGTACTTGCCTAGCAGGCATGAAGCCTTGGGTTTGATTCCTCAGTATCACATAAACAGAAAAGCCAGAAGTGGCACTGTGGCTCAAGTGGTAGAGCACTAGCCTTGAGTTTAAGCCCCAGATCTGCCCCTCCCCCCCCCCCAAAAAAAAAAAAAAAACTCTGACAACTTTCTCATTTCCCTATACTTCAGAGACTTTTGTTGTTGTTATTGGTCTTGGGGCTTGAACTCTGGGCCTGGGCACTGTCCCTGCGCTCTTCAGCTCAAGGTTAGCACTCTACCTCTTTAGCCACAGCACCACTTCCAGTTTTCTAGTGGTTTATTGGAGATCAGAATCTCACGGACTTTTCTGCCCAGGCTGGCTTTGAACCATGATCCTCAGATCTCAGTCTCCTGAGTAGCTAGGATTACAGGCGTGAGCCATCAGCACCCAGCTTCAGAGATTTCTTAAACTGATTGTATACAATGGAATATCTATACTGAGACAGACTTAGCAATTTGTATTCAGACAATTCAAATTAAGAATCCATTTTCTCTCTAATACTAACTTAAATTCTGAAAATTCTTAATTTTGTTTTTTACTATTGTGAAAATGTTTTATGCATTCTTGCAAAAATTATGTTGGCATTTAAGAAATAGTAGATAAGAAAAAATTAGAAAAAAGGATAAACTGGGGGTACTAAATAGAGTTATTTAACTTTACTATATAATCAATCATAATTTATTTGTTCTTACAAATGTAGATTTACACAAAAGCTTATTGTATGTACTTCAAAGGCCAGATTAACAGACCACACAAACTGAACTGGACATTGCTTACTCCTAATTTGTCCTTTGAGTTGGCATTGAAAAAAATGATGCTTTCTACTGTCCCCCTACATAATCTTTCTAGTCTCTACCTATCTAGTCTTACTAGCTGCAAAAGAGCTTTTCCATCTAGTCAGCTGTTCACCCCCCACCCTTGTTGGCTTTCGTGTGTCCATTGCTCAGAATTTGATCAAGCCTTTATTGATGGGCATTGATTGGATGTGTCTTTTAAATATTTCTTTTGATCCAAAAGTGTGTATTTACATTGCTTGATAATCTGAAGGAAATTAATACTAATAGTTTTAACTTGAATATGTTTTCTTATAGCAGAAAAAGAAAATTAAGAACTTCAATCCACCAACACGTAGAAATTGGGAAAGTAATTACTTTGGGATGCCCCTCCAGGATCTGGTTACAGCTGAGAAGCCCATACCACTATTTGTTGAAAAATGTGTGGAATTTATTGAAGATACAGGTAGGATAGAAGTACCAACACAAGAGAATTGATTTGAAAATTTGTTTCACCAACAGTTTGTCTCATGTTTGGGAGTTGATAGGCTAAAATTTGAAGGAGATTTATATTTGTCATTAGCATAGTCTTGAGTATTCACTCTTAATATAACCATCTGATATTTGAAAGAAGTTTTGTGGTCTTCTCATGAGTCTAATAAATTGCTAAGTTGAAAACTAAAGTTTTAAACTTACCTAATTCTAGAATTTAGAATGACTTCATTACTATATTAAGCTATTATTAGGTCATTTGATTTGAATCAGTAATTTTTAAAGTTTTCAGTATTTTCAATCTAATACTAGTTAACTGTTTCACACAAGAAATTTTTTTTTCCTCTTAAAATTTAAGTCAAGCCAGGCACTGGTGGCTCACATCTGTAATCCTAGCTTCTTGGGAGGCTGAGATCTGAGGATTACGGTTCAAAGCCAGCCCGGGCAGGAAGCTCTGAGACTCTTATCTCCAGTTAACCACCAGAAAACCAGAAGTGGCGCTGTGGCTCAAGTGGTAGAGCGCTTGCCTTGAGCTGAAGAGCTCAGGGACAGTGCCCAGGCTCAAAGTTCAAGACCCACTACCAACACCAAAACAAAAACACAAAAAAACTTAAGTCAGTTACAGGTACACAAAAGCAGCTCACTGTATTTGTGACATTACTATTTATTTAGTCCCAGCTATTGTGGTTTTTACATGGTTTGAGTTAAAATATTGAGAATGTGCAGATATCGTTTTAATAATAAGCTTGTTCTTAGGATTATTTTGCATGATATAAATTAAAATGAAAAACAGTTTGACAGTCAAAGGTAAGGAATGAGGTCAAAGATTGTTATGCTTGGGTATATTTAAAATGAATACAGGTTAACTTTGAAACTAGTGATTGAACAAACTACAGACTTTAAATGATGTAAAAAATATGAGCTGTCAGTTTTAGCTTTATTTGTACTTAATGAACTTTTTTTTGATAAATAAGCATTGTTTTGTCTAAAAATAGTATACCCATGTCTGAAGTAAATAATCAAGCTCATTTTTGCTCCTCTGTGTGCCTTGCCCTTTCAATTATCAATTGAGTTCTACACTCACTGGTTTGTCTATTTGGTGAGGAACTTATAGTTTCAATAAGGATGTGGAATTTGGGGAAATACTGTCATTCATTAGTATTATAGTTGAAATAGCAAGTATCCTCTTCCTTGAGTTACTAAGTGTTATAGAGCCTACATTGTATATATTGTTATTCTTTTTCATTCAGTTAATACTTGAGAGATGTGTTTTGGGCAAATTTCTTTTTTGTATTTTTGTTACTTTTTTGTGTGTGTGCTGGTACTAGAGCTTGAACACAGAGCCTCATGGTCTTGCCTAGCTTTTTCCTCAAGGGTGGTACTCTACTATTTGAATCACGCTTCCATTTCTGACTTTTTGTTGGGTTATTTAAATTAGAGTTAATGGACTTTTCTGCCTGGGGTGTCTTTGAACCTCACTCCTCAGGTTTAACCTCCAAAGGTGTTAGGATTACAGTTTGAGCCATTAGCACCTGACTGTTCATCTTTAGTACAGAAGAAATACAAAGATTCTTCTTGTTTTTTGTTATTGTTGTTTTGGGGGTTTTTTCCTTTTTGTTTTGCTGGTCCTGGGGCTTGAACTCAGGGCTTGGGCTCTGTCCCTGAACCTCTTTCTACTCAAGGCTGTGCTCTACCACTTGAGATACTGTACCACTTCTGGCTTTTTCTTTTTTCTTTCTTTTTTTTTTTTTTTGCTGTCCCTGCACTCTTCAGCTCAAGGCAAGTGCTCTATGGCTTGAGCCATAACGCCACTTCCGATTTTCTAGTGGTTTATTGGAGATAAGAGTCTCACGGACTTTACTGCCTTTGAACCGAGATCCTCAGATCTTAGCTTCCTGAGTAGCTAGGATTACAGGCATGAGGCACCAGCACCCGACTAACTTCTGGCTTTTTCTGAGTAGTTTATTAGAGATAAGAGTCTCATGGATTTTCCTTCCGGGCTGGCTTTGAACCATGATTCTCAGATCTCAGCCTCCTGAATAGCTAGAATTACAGGCATGAACCACTGGCACCCGGCTCAAAGATTCTTATAGTATTGGTTTTCCTGGTTTGGATTTGAATAATTCTCATTTTCTTCAGCAGTGTAATTAAGCCTAGTGGATATGAATGAATGGTTGTAAAATAACTTTAGGGATTGAAAATAACTATGAATTACTACTTATTAATATAATTTAAATTTCTATTACTATATTTAAGAATTTTGGTTTCTAGAATATTTTCATAATGATTGAAAGATTTGGCTCGAAGCAAATCAATTTCAGGTGCAAGATAAAATGAAATTCTGATCTAACTCTTACTACAGCTTAAATTAGTCCAGTTCAGCTAATAAGTAGTTCGTTCACTTAAGTGCATTGATAGAAATATACTGAGGTACTATAAGAGTAAGAATAGAAAAAAAAAAAGCTCCAATGCTCTTGTAGTATTATAACTTGATTTTATTACTAATTTTAAAGCTGCTAGGCAGTTTTAGCACAAATTTTCCAAGTGCTTAAGAGTTCCATTTATGTGCTGAATATGGTGATACATTCTGTAATCTCAGCAGGGTAGGCTCTGACTGAACTGAAGAAGCAAGAATTGAAGCCCAGACTGGACTGCATTGCAAAGCTGTCTTTAAAAAACAAAACATACCAGTTTTCAATTGGCAACTCCCAATGTGGACTGTATATATAGCATAGCCATCTTTAGACTTTTACTTGTAGTCATGAAAATACCTTGCAGTTGCCCTTTTTTATTGTCAAGGTGATGTACAGAGGGATTACAGTTACATAAGTAGGGTAATAAGTACATTTCTTGTCAAACTTGTTACCCTTTCCCTCATTTTTCTCCTGCTTTCCCATTATTTTAAAATTGTACTTTGCTTCTTCATGTGGTACTGTAGTTTGAATTCAGAGCCTCATACTTGTTAGGCAGACACTCTTGTGCTGAACCAGGTCTTCTGGCCTGTTGTTCAGTTTATATTTTTTGTTTGTTTGTTTTTTGCACCAGTCCTGGGGCTTAAATTCAAGGCCTGGTCCCTAAACCTGAGCTTCTTTTGATCAAGGCTAGCACTCTACCACTTGAATCACAGAACCACTTCTGGTTTTTCTGTTTATGAGGAATAATCCAAGGCTTCATTTGCTAGGCAAGCACTCTACCACGAAGACACATTTCTAGCTTCAGTTTATATATATATATATATATATTTTTTTTTTTTTGGGGGGGGGGGTCTGGTCTTGGGGCCTGAACTCTGAGCCTGGGCACTGTCCCTCAGCTCTTCAGCTCAAGGTTAGCGCTCTACCACTTGAGCCACAGTGCCACTTCCGGCTTTTTTCTTTTTGCTTATGTGGTGCTGAGGAATCGAACCCAGGGCCTCATGCATGCAAGGCAAGCACTCTACCACTGAGCCACCTTCCCAGCCCTTCAGTTTATATTTTTGAGATAAGGTCTTACTTACTGTTATTATATATACACCTGGATGGCAGACTGCTTATTTTAGGCTTCCTGTCATTGCTAGGATGGCAGGAGTGCATCATTATATCTGGTCACCCTCCATTGACATAGATTCTTCTTTGCTCAGGATGGCCTTTAACCTCAGTTCAACCCTCCAAAACAGTTGTATGCTGAGTTGGCCTCAAAACAGTAGTCTTTCTATTCTTATCCTCCCAAGTAGCTAAATGTGAGCAGTATCTAGATGCCCAGCAATATTTTTTTCTTTTTATAAATTCTGAAATACAGTGATATAAATGACATTGTTCTTGTTATAATGAAATTCAAAAAGCTAAACTTTTTTGAACAACCTTAAAATAGAATGGTAGTTTTAAGAGTCAGTTTATTACTTTTTATTATAATTTATATATAATAACTTTTATATACTTTAATTGTACAGTATGAGGTTTGATAGCTTTATGGCCCTGTAACCACCATTTCACACTTAAGATATAGACTATTGGTAGCACCTATTTTTTTTAACTTTTAATTTTTTTAGAAATTATTCTTGTAAAGGTGATTTACAGAGGGGTTACAGTTACGTAAGTACATTTGGTTTTGAACAGTCGCCCCTTCCCTAGCTTTCTCCCAAGTTTTTCCTTCCTGTCCCCTCACAATTTCTATAGTTTATTTTCAATATGTCTAGTCAGTATGACTCCTGCATTTGTTTACCCTTTGTCCCACCATTTCTGTACTCCCCTTTACCCTCCCCAAAACAGATACACTTGCGTACAAGTGTATCTCGTATAGATAGATATAGAAAGGTATAGAAACAAAAACAGCAACAAAGGAGGAAAAAAGTAACACAAAAGCTCTTGTTACCATTTCTTGGAGTTCATTTTGATAAGCATAATTTTATATCATCATCTGCATATAGCTTTTGGGCCTTGAATGTCTAGAGTTCTGTATAATTTATTATGTCCATGTGTATTTCTTCTCTTTTACCATCCAGTGTATTTAATTGTACATTGATAGGCACTTTCTAGTTACAACAATGAGGGAAACCATGGAAATTATGTTTCTTTGGCATAGAAGAGAATGATGCTTTCTACTGTCTCCCTACATAATCTTTCTCTCTGACATTATATATATATATATATATATATACTTTATGTTTATAGAATTTAGGGACAGCATTAGAGTGAGAAGAAAAGTAACATGCTATACAAGAGAGGGGCCTTAAAACACTAATGAGCACAAAAAATTTAATAAAGAGGCATAGATAGCAACATTAAATGACTTGCAGCGATTTTTTTTCTCTGGGTCTGACTTCACTTAATCTGATTTTTTTCCAAGTCATTCCATTTCCTTATGAATGGTACGATATCATTCTTTCTGGTGGAAGCAGATAATTCCTTGTGTGTATATATACCACATTTTCTTGATCTGTTCGTCCACACCATTGGCTTTGGTAAACAACGCTGTAATGAGCATGATTGTGCTGGTAGC